CTTTATGACGACCATCAAATCTGTGCAGGTCGTCATGCATCTCAACCCAATTCACCGGACGACGAGCATCTAAGTTTTGGAGGAGGTCATGATCCCATGGACTCCGCGGAATAGGTTGATGGAAGTGGAATTTCCTCAGCACTCTATCCCCAAATTGGATCTCAACAAAAGCAAAATTGATCAATGGTGTAACAACACACCAATATTGAAACCCATCTAAAATATCGTGCGGTGTCAACGCAAATAATTCTTCATTCATGTATGGTCTCCAATTAAACTATAAAATTACAAAAACAATAAAATTAATTTAAATCAAATAATATAGTTAATTTAAATAATAATTAAAAAATACAGATTATACATACCTCCTTTTTGGCCTTAATGTCGATCTTCAGCCTGAACTCTTTAATGTTATTGTGCACCAACCCCATGCCTTCAATTTTATGCCTCTATCTGTATATCAATCAAAACAAAAATAGAGACATTTTGTTCAATAATTTTAATCAAAATAATTTTTTTCTAATTAATATTTTATATTTTATATTACATTCCGGCAACTGGAAAGTCAACCGCAGTTTGACTAATCGGTGTCAAAAACGGAAGTCTATGCCAAGCCCAAGATTGTAGCAGCAACAGACATCCACCGATTTCTGCTGTATTATTATCATTCACGACTAATGACGCCTTGCACATCTCACGATACAAGAACACCAATATCGCCGAACCCCAACTATATTGCCTACAATTATCAAAATTTGTTAAAAAAAAGAAGATACTGAGTGTGAACATAACTACCGGATTTATCAGGCATCAAAATTCCCCCAATCAACTGTAATATATATGCTCGTGTTGCATATATAATTTCGTGCTCCGTACTATTTGGTTGAAGTTGAAATTCATTCTTCAACCATGACAACCTCACCCGCCACCCTCTACACTCTGGTGGTACGGGCGCTTTCCCAAGAAACAAGTTGCAAAGTTGTGCCACATTTTTAAACTCATGTGACATTACCACCGGCATCCCATTAGTTTGGACCCCGAGTTGCATTGCCACATCCTCCAAAGTTATCGTGCATTCTCCACACGGTAAATAAAACGTGTGCATTTCTGGTCTCCAACATTCAATCAACGCACTGATCAAACCTGGGACCAACTTGTAATCTCGCACAAATGTTACATACCAAAATCCAGCCTATTGCAAGTTTTCTTCTATCAATGGGTGTGGCTTGGGCATTTTATGTAGCCGAGGTCGAAGGACTCCTGCTCGTCCTCCTACAATTAAATAATGCAAAAAAATTATCATAATCATCATAAAATAATATTCAAATATTTATTAATTATAATTCATTAAACAAATATTTTATTCACCATTATTCCCAAACTTGAAATATGTTTATTGTCAAGTCTCAGCAGTGGAATTTGGTCAGCCATTGGAATGAATCTGTAAAAAAAGTAAACAACAGTATTTAAAAAATCATTTAATATAACTAATATAATCTAACTAACTAACTATTTCTCAACACAACAAAAAAATTTAATATAATAACTTATAATATATTAAACTAATAAACTAACAAACTAAACTTTTTAAAATATAAGTTAAACGTAAATTTTCCCTTAAACAACTAATAAACTATTCTTTAATATAACTTTAACTATTCTTTAATATAACGTTAACTAATAAACTATTTTTTAATATAACTTAAACTAATAAATGATTTTTAATTATAATTTATTACTAAAAAACTAATTAACTAATTTTTTATATAATATAAATTCAACAAACAAATATAGCTTAACTATTTAACTAACACAAACTAATTACATATTTTTTTATATATAACTAACGACTAACAAACTAACTGATTATTTTTATTAATATGTAACTATCAAACATATGAATTAAATAATTTTTTATTTCTATATGATATAACTTAAACTAACAATAATATAACTTAAACTACCAAACTAATTAACTAATTTTTTGTTTTACCCTAATTTATAATAATAAACTAATTAACTAATAATTTATAACAATAAACTAATTTAAATAATTATTCTTTTATATAACTTAAACTAATTAACTAATTTTTTTATATAATATAAATTCAACAACCAAAATATAACCATCAAGCAAACTAATTAATTACAATTTTGTTTTACCTTAAACTAACTAACTAATTAACTAAAATGTTGTAAACCCTTAATCCATAAACTAACAATCTAATAATTTAAAATAAAAAACTAATTTAAATAATTAAAAAGCTTACCTCGATGTTGTGCTCTCCCTTTCTTCTTCTTCCTCTTTTCCCTGGCTCTCTTCTCCCTTTCTTTCTTTTATGTTTCACTCATTAACCCCCATCCAATATATAATACAACCACCCCCGTTTGCTTTAATTATTCACCTTTGCATGGGCCATTCACGTGATTTGAAGGACTGCAATAATGCAGCAATAAGTGCTGCAATAATGCAGCTGAATTCACGCTGCATGCGAGCAGAGGTTTGCCGAGAGCAGACCACGTGAACAAAGCTCTTGGCGACCTATCCCATGCCCCGTGCATGGCCCATGAATAGCACCAAAGCAGAGCATCAGCCGGGCAGAGCAGCAGAATCACGAGAACGTTGGACGCCGGGCGTGCATGGCGTCCTTATAGGACGTCGGGCGTGCATGGCGACCTATAAGGGCGTGCATGGCGACCTATAAGGACGCCGGGCGTGCATGTCGACCTATACTGGTTCGTCTGGATGCTGCCACGTCGTAGGTCGCCCGGATGGCATGGCGACCTACGACCATCACTGTAGAATTTACCCCATTCGAGCAATTAATCTGAACACTACAGGATATGTGTTCAAAGTTTCGGGTGGAGCTGTAAGTTGTGTTTCAAAATTGCAGTCAGTTGTGGCTACATCTACAACAGAGGCAGAATATGTAGCAACTACACAAGCCAGTAAAGAAGCAATTTGGTTGAAAATGCTATTGGAGGAGCTTGGGCACAATCAAGAGTATGTCTCTCTGTTTTGTGACAGTCAAAGCGCCTTGCATCTAGCAAGGAATCCATAATTTCATTCAAGGACAAAGCACATACGAGTTCAGTACCATTTCATTCGTGAAAAAGTGGAAGAAGATACGGTAGATATGCAGAAGATCCATACCAAAGGCAACATAGCAGATTTCATGACGAAGGCGATCAATACTGATAAATTTACTTGGTGTCGATCCTCTTGTGGCCTGTCAGAGACGTAAGCAACATGATGGTACATGGTAGAAAGAATGGTGTGAATATATGATTATTCAAATCAAATATTCAAGTGGGAGATTGTTGAAAATCAATGCACCGAAAGTGCATGGTTTGAAGAAAGAAAAAAAAATATTGAATTTTGTCAACAAATGTAGGCACCGAAAATTAGGTGTAGAATTTGTTGATTTTTTATATGGGCAAATTACAAACTCTAGTCACTAAAATTTAAGGTATTTACAAATTAGTCCTTAAGCTTCAACTATAAATACCATAGCTCATTTAGTTTCAAAACCATTCCAAAGCATTATAGCTTTCTTCCAATACTAGAGAGAATTTAGAGAGTTTATTGAGAGTTGTTTTCTCCTTTTTATCAAGAGAGAATTATCATTATTTTCTCCTTGGTAGATCGAGAGAATTTGTAATTCCTATTTTCTAATAGTGAAATTCTTCTACCGTTGCCCGTTGTTTTTATCTTATATTATTTAGGAGTTTTCCATGTAAATTTTATCTCTTTTATCTTAATTTTTATTTTCTTAAATTATCAGTTACGATTTTATTCTATTCAATAACCGTCTTTCGCAATATTATATTACACGCTTTATTATTAATTTGTTAAAAAATATATTAAATCGATAAAATTTGAAAAAACGATACACAAGTTATGATATTACAATATTTAAGTATTTTTTTTGGTTAAAAGCTCCCCTAAACCATATGTTTCTCTCAGTGCCTACTTACGAAAACAAGGGAGAGAGAGAGGGAGGGAGGGGGAGAGAGAGAGGGAGGGGGAGGGAGAGAGAGAGGGAGGGGGAGGGAGGGAGAGGGAGGGAGAGTTTTTGGCCTTTGGGAACGAAGGGTGTTATTGTCTTGGACACCGAGCTTCTTTACCACTCACTCGTATGTGCAGAGCGCGTGTAAAAATGAAGAAAAACACCAAATGCATGCTTGTAAATACTGGTACTATTTCACCAATGAAATTAATCCTTATGAATGGATTAAAAACAGGAAAAAAATGAACTGAAATTGAGAGATTATATAGAAAGGGAGAGTGGAACAAACGCACAGCAAGCAGAGAATGAGGAAATGATGAAAGGAAAAAAAACAGTAGGGGGTTTATTGGGAAGCTATAATCCCTACTCTGAGAACGCAATAATAAAAGCCCTTCCTTCACTCTCCATTAAAGGTCGGATCCCATTTTTCTCCAGCTTCCGTCTTTCTTTCTCTTTCAACCTTCCTTTCTTAGGAACGCAACAGACTCTCATTATATAGTAAAAAAAAGAAAAAAAAAAAGAAAAAAAAATGCAGAGCTTCAAAGCTGCAGCAACAATAGCTAACCCAGGCATGTTTAGCCACTCTTCTTTTTTTCTCAGGTATATTTACTTTAACTTAAAGTCATGATTTTGGGTTTTCTTTTTCTTCTTTTGGTGTTGGAACTGCATGTCTTTGATTACAAGGCAATGATTATAGTTTTTACATGTACGTGAGAGAAAAGAAAGGTGTCTTTTTTTTTATCTGTTGGAGTACAAAGCAAGAAACAAGCTTTGTTGTTCTTACCGTTTTGGTTTCTGTTTCGAAAAACAGAGGAGACGATTGTAATAGCTGCCACCAGACGCGTTTCCCGGAACTTGGAGAGCTTGATCATCACGATGATGCTGTTGATTTAAGCCCAAGTATTGTAAATAATAAATGTTTTTGCCCCATGTTTCTAAAGCCTCTCTAACCATTTTATCTGTTTATATAATTCTTTGTAGGATCCATTTTTAGTTTAAAATCTAGCGATGTTGCTAACAACTTGCACTATGGCGCCTTGAACACGGTACTCAACCCTTCTACCAACCTCACTCTTTCAACGTAAGTGATAAGCTTTTTTCTGCATATATTTCCTCATAGTTTTGATGTTCTTTTGCAAATGGTTTTCCTATCAGAGCATTGGTGCAACCGAGATAGTATCCAGTGGAATCGGGTGTTTGGATACAGGGCAGTTCATGCACCAGAAGGGGCCAACATTTGGTCCTTTGGGGAATGAACATATCGAAAACTGGGCTGACTCTGGCCTTGCCGATAATAGCCAACAGACTGTCACTTCAACTGATGTTGACACTGACCATAAAAACCAGGTTTCCTTTTCCTCTACTTTTGCTTCATGTAAAGTTGCAAAGGGAACATCTTTATTATGATGAATTGCTGCTTAAATTAGAGTTTTGATGTTGCTCTAAGTTGTTTGGCCTTGGTGAAACAATATTATATTGTGATGGTGGCTTTTTTAGTGGCTTTTTTTGTTCTTGATGGTCTTATAGGTTCCTGGCGTTCAACATGGACCTATAATGGTGGATTCAGTGGATCAGTCCAAGTCAAAATTTGGTGATCAAAAGGTTGTTAAACGTTCCTGAATTGTTTTGTAATCTATTTTAATGTTTGCCATCTTTGTGAGTTCTTACTTGTTTGCCCCTTCAGATGCTTCGCAGGCTTGCTCAGAATCGAGAAGCCGCAAGGAAGAGTAGATTGAGGAAGAAAGTAATGTGTATTTTGCTTGTGTATCGTTACTATATTTCTTACCTATTCTGGATAAATGAAGCATGCTTGGATCATTTATAGGTTTTGTATTTTGAACAGGCATATGTCCAGCAGCTCGAGAATAGTCGACGTAGGCTCACAGAGTTAGAGCAAGAGCTTCAAATGGCAAGACTGCAGGTATGAAAATGTATCTCTTTATCTCTGGTTTAGGATGCACCTTCTCTTCATTTGAAGGTATTTTTGTTCCTAATTAGCTTTTATACTAATGCAGGGTTCTTTTACCACGACTAGACATTCGGTGGACCATGGTCATTTGGTCTTGGGAAATGGTGACTAGACTTAAGATATTCTGGTGTTTGTCATAATGTGTGGATTACTGTAAATAGATCTTATTGATTTTTATGCTCCCAGCGGCTCTGGCGTTTGACATGGAATATGGTTGCTGGCTCCATGAACATCAACGACTGATAAATGACCTAAGATCGGCAGTGAATTCAAATATTGGGGATAGTGAATTATGCATTCTTGTTGCGGGTGTCATGGCACATTATGATGAAGTTTTCAGGTTGAAAAGCATTGGTACCAAGGCAGATGTATTTCACATGCTCTCTGGAATGTGGAAAACACCTGCAGAGAGGTGTTTTATGTGGTTGGGAGGATTTCGTTCATCCGAACTTCTCAAGGTGATTTACTATCGGAGAATTTGGATACTATTAACATGACGTGTTTTTTAGATATATCTGGTTTGGTTGATGACATTTTGATCTTGGAACTTAGATCCTTGGAAACCACGTTGAGCCTTTAACAGACCAACAATTAATGGGCATATGTAATCTACAGCAGTCTTCTCAACAGGCTGAGGATGCCTTATCACAAGGAATGGAAGCTTTGCAACAATCTCTTGTAGACACCCTCTCGTCCACATGTTTAGGTCCTACTGCTCCCGGAAACGTTGCTGATTACATGGGCCAGATGGCGATTGCAATGGGAAAACTTGTCACATTGGAGAACTTCCTACACCAGGTAAATGACATTTTATCTCGCCCGTCATGCAACTTTGAAGTTAAGTGGTCATACAGTTATTTACCACTATCGCATTTTGATTTCCAGGCTGACCTTTTAAGACAGCAAACTTTACAACAAATGCATCGAATTTTAACCACTCGGCAAGCAGCCCGGGCCCTAATAGTTATTAGTGATTACACTTCAAGACTTAGGGCTCTTAGCTCTTTATGGTTAGCCCGGCCTAGAAACTGAATCTTCCATTCCATGAAAGCTCATCTTGGTTTCATCAATGCGTTGCACAGAACATTTCACCAGGTGAAGCATGCACTATGCCCAATGACGGCATACATTTCGGAAGGTCTGGTTGTAACTTCGCTCTAAGAAAATGTACTCACCGGCCTATAGAAATGGTTGTAATTCAGATAAGTGCTGTATATTAAGTTGGATCTGAGCAATTTGTTGTGATTGTAGGTAGTGTAATCTCGCATGTGAGGCAATATTCTTTAAACTTAAACAATGTTGTTTCTTGTATTACAAGTCTTGTAATCCTTCCATTGGAATCGAAAACCTGAATATTACATGATCTATTGCAATCAATGATGGGTATTTACAGCACAAGAAATAAAATATTTGAAGCAACATGTTATTCTTTCTTGTTCACGATTGTTTGGTCTCGACTAGCCTGTAAACTCTTCTCCTATTCACCCTTCCTGAAGGTTACAAGGTAAATATGTTATTTTTCTGAAATCTGCAGAAAATTGAATAAAGATTATTCACATTTAGGCTTTTATATTGTCAAATTTGTGAATACCTGGCCTGTGGCATTTTGTGGGTTTGTTGATATGGGGAATGAAAACACCTGTTCCATTGCCGGTTCTCCATAGATTCACAAGCCAAGTTGGTACCGAGTCTGTATTCTTGGTACCCGGCCAACTGAAATAACTTCCATGTTGTAAAGAAGATGGATTCCCAACCGTTCTTCTCCTCCCCGGCTTGTTAGCGCCGAAGCTCACGGAATCGATAACATCGGTTTCTTGATGATCCTCGTCATCTGCTGTCAAAACTAGAATCTGTCTTCGAATCTCATCGAAGAAAACATCATCTTCATCATTCCCTTGGTGTTTGTAAACGGACTCGACGTCATTCACGTCCATGGTGATAAGAAAAAACTCGGAGCAGGAAAAGCTTGGCTTTCCATTTCCATGGTTGGGACCATTTAAAGAAGAATGTGGAGGAGAAAGTACATGGTTTAGGGTCAATGTAACCTGACACTTCCAAATGTCTCTTTTTGTACATTAGTCTAGTTGGTGTGTTGTCTTGTATGAATCTTCAAGGAGCGGTTTGTGTTGTTAAACCAAGTGGATTAGGACCATTAATTTAATGTCTCATTTAGGCTTTAAAATAAGAGGTAAACAATAATAATTTTTTTTTAAACATTTCACTTCCATAAACCATTCGATTTTTTGGTCAAAAATAATAATTTAATGTCTCTTTTAGGCTTTAAAATAAGAGGTAAACAATAATTAAGGGTATCAAAATATTAGCTGAGTTGTTAGACCATAAAAACATTACTACTTGGAGTTGATCAACCCCTTGGAACCTACCCCTCAAAAGAAATAAAATAAAGACCAAATTGAATTTTGCATTACCAACAAGATTTTATATTAAGGATATCAACTTTTTACGATTCTAAAGAAAGCAAAATTATATTAAAATATTAAAATATTTTACGATTCTAAAGAAAGTAAAATTATATTAATCATATAAAAATTTAAAATATTTATAAGCACGACCGTCCTAATATATTGCTTGATCCATTCCTGAATTTTAACGTCACTCGAACAAAAAATTCCTATAAAAGGATACTACTTCCGGATGAAAGGTGTAGATTTTATGAGTGTTAATTTAAATATAATACCATCATTTTTCCTAGTAATCATTTGAGGTATATGAAACTTCAAATAAGGCACGTGTATGAATTCGGGGTAGTTCAACTGAATCTTGTATTTTTTTTCCTGAAAATGTGAAATTTAATAGATCAAAAGTTTGAATTTCAGTATCTTTAATTTTATCTCATATTTTCATAATTCGATATCCTTAATATATATAGTTTTATGTATAAAATTAAGATACATAGATATACTGGATATATTATGCATTGAGTTATTGACGCTTGGTCTTTTGTCTCTCTGCATATGTATTGTTGAACGGATGAATTTAGAACGAGTGTTATAAATTAAAATACATTATTAATGTGATACAACGATATATATCATTAATTGATTAATTTTTATTAAATAAATATAGAAATTTATAATGATCTATCGATATTTAACCTTTTATTAAATTCTAATAAAAAAATATAATTAAACCATATTTTTATTAAAAGTTATAATTAATTTAGAATTTTATTTGATTAAGATTCAAACACTTAATGTATATAAGTTTAAATATTCATCACTAACAACAACATCAAGAATCGATCGTCGGCCACCACTGTTTATCCCAGAAAACCGTTTTCATCATCAAAAATTGCTTCTTTCAACAAACATTATCAATGATAGGGTTAATTTTTGAGATACAATTCATTTTGCAATGATTTTTCAACGATAAAAATGGTTTTTCGACGATGAACAATAATCACCAACGGTTAATTTTTAATGTTACTATTGGTGATGAATCTACAAACTTATATAAATTAAATGTTAATTTTTTTTGGATAATTCCATTTCATTACCCAAGAAAGCACGAGAACCTGCTACAAAACAGTACTACATAAACAACAAATAACATAGCTAGCTAACAGAAAAGTAAAACAAGAGCAACAATATAGCACGAAATACCCCAACTTGTACAAAGGGTAATATTCCTCGAATCAGCCATGCTATTGGACCAGCCTTGAAGTCGGATCTGGATGGTCTCCCGAATGTCATTCAGTATCTCACCCACACGTCTAGCTCTACCTCCAAATAGCCTGTTGTTTCTCTCCCTCCAGATGCCATACACATGGCTTCCAAGAGCAAGCTTCATCACTTGTACAATGAAAGACTTTCCTTTAAGGAGTTGGGTAGCCCATGCTAGCTCCCTATCCCAAGTGCTCACACTGCGTTCAACACCGTATAAGGAAAGGACTATTCCTCATAGGTCTTTCACAAAACAACATCTAAAGAATAAGTGGCTTCTAGACTCAGGCTCAGAGTCACAAAATAAGCATTTGTCATTATCAATATTCAATCCCATTCACAGCAGTCTAATTCGAGTTGGGAGCCTATCTAGGATGACCATCCACAAGATGAACTTTGCTTAGGGATACGCCCTGGAAACCAGACCAACCTGTGCCATGAGACCTTAGGGCTCTGGATGCGAAAAGCCTCTTATATTTTTCTCGTACTAAGGTCTTTGACAGGGCCGGTGAATAGCTGAGACATAGAAGGTCTCATTTTTAGAATCCTCTTGAAGCTCCAACTGGCATTTAAAGGAATACTCATCTTCCAGAATTCCGAGTCTTTGATCACACAGGAATGAATCCATGCCACCCACAAGGAACCTTCATTAGCCAGCAGCTTTTTGATTAATAGCCGCACACAGGCCTTATTCCAGCCCTCTAAATCAACTACACCCAAACCCCATTCGGATTTCATCAAACAAACATGTCTTCAGCTAACTCGTGCACCTCTAGCAGGCATGTCAGCCCATTTCCAAAAGAAACGAGAGATAACTGCTCAATTTTCCTGATCATGGATTGAGGTAGAATCATTTGACTGCACCAATAATTTGCTATACTGAATAGAACATATCAGATGAGTTGCAGCCTACCAGCAAAGCTTAAATGTCTATTAGCCCACATGTTTAGCCTAGCCCTTATCTTATCAATCAGACCTTGGCAGTCATTCACTGTAATTTTTCTTGTCACCGGATGAACTCCAAGGTATCTCATATGAAGTATCCCATGCTTAAAGCTAGTAATCTCGTGAATAATAGCACACTGCTCAGCAGTGAACATCTCACATTTATTAGCATTAAGTTTCAACCTTGATAACGAGTAAAACATATCAAGGATAGACTGCACGCCAATGATGGAATCTATAGTACCTTTACAGAAAATGAGGAGGTCATTAGCAAAGAAAAGGTGAGTTAGGCTTATCTTTCTGTATTTGGGATGAAACTCGAAGATTCCCTTCAGAGAAGCCAAATTCAACAAACTAGACAGGATATTCATAGATAGGACAAAGAGATAAGGTGAGAGAGGGTCACCATGTCTAACACCTATAGCACCCTTAAAATAGCCCACAAGACTCCCATTAAACACAATTGAATAACTAGGGTTCGTGAAACAAGCCCAGATCCAACCAATGAATTTTTCAAGCAACCCTAAGGCATGGAGAATGACACCAACAAACTGTCCTGTTGATAAGGACACATTCAAGCTTACGAGCCAGGAAAATGTCATGTTGCTTGTTTGAGCATGTAAATAAGGGGCCAATAAAAGGATGGTCAGAGAGTCCCAACTCTTCCACACAATTCTGAAATATCCACCCTCGAATTTGTATTAACAGGAACCGAGCTTTCCTCAGTATTGAGGATGACATTAAAGTCATCTCCTATCAGCCAAGGCACATTACCTACTGCACTCTCCATTAGTCTTAATTGATTCCATAGCTGCCTTCGAAGACCACCATCATTTGAGCCGTAAATTGCAGTAATAAAAAAGATCTTTCCCCTAAAGTTAGTTCTGATAGAAACACTCTGATCAGAAACTGAGTGAATGATGCAGCTTAGGCTTTTATGCCATAAAATCCAAATGCGACCATTAACAACATGGTTATAGTTACATCATGATTCCCAATCTCTAAATTTTTTGTTCAATATAACCCCAACATTATTCTCTTTAACTCTCATTTCTAGAAGACACAAGATGCCAATTTGATAGCTTACAGCCCAACGCAACACTTTATTATGTTTTAAGGGATTATTAAATCCCCTAACGTTCCATAAGCAGATTAGCATAAAACATGAATAGAGGAAGAAACACCACCACATTCTTCCAGTTTTTTAGCTTTACTCATGCTCCTTTTTCTTTAGTTTAAAATCTTGCATTAATTTCTCCACACCAAGAGAGGCAACTCTTTGCTTCCTACCAGAATCCACAGAAGGTAACCCAAGCCGAGCTTCAGGGTCAATAGAACTAAGCACCTCATATTTATTCTTTGATCCACCCACAGTGTTTCCCCCCTCTTTTTGGCAGGTCTACCTCTTTCTTTCTTCAGATGTGGGTTACTGCCCTGATCAGGAACTACAACAATAGATGT